GAGAAAGAAGACGATTCAGTGTACCGGTTCCGACTCTTAATCCTTGTCTGAATTCATTTTCGCCCATGTCGCGCGAAGCGCGGAAACTCTGACGTTTTATTAAAATATTACTCTTAATCCTTGGCTGATTTCATATTCGCCCATCCCGCGCGAAGCGCGGAAGCTTTCACGTTTCATTAAATAATCAGAGAAAGAAGACGATTTGTTGTATCGTGTTCTTGTCTGAATTCAGTTTCCACCCCCCTCCCGCGCGAAGCGCGGAAGCTTTGACACTTCATTAAAGAAGGAAGACGATTCGTTGTACCGTTCTCGACTCTTAATCCTAGTCTGAATTCATTTTCGCCCTTATCGCGCGAAGCACGGAAACTCTGACGTTTTATTAAACTATTACTCTTAATCCTTGTCTGAATTCATATTCGCCCATCCCGCGCGAAGCGCGGAAGCTTTCACGTTTCATTAAATAATCAGAGAAAGAAGACGATTTGTTGTATCGTGTTCTTGTCTGAATTCAGTTTCCACCCCCCCTCCCGCGCGAAGCGCGGAAGCTTTGACACTTCATTAAAGAAGGAAGACGATTCGTTGTACCGTTCTCGACTCTTAATCCTAGTCTGAATTCATTTTCGCCCTTATCGCGCGAAGCACGGAAACTCTGACGTTTTATTAAACTATTACTCTTAATCCTTGTCTGAATTCATATTCGCCCATCCCGCGCAAAGCGCGGAAGCTTTCACCTTTCATTAAAAAATCAGAGAAAGAAGACGATTCGTTGTATCGTGTTCTTGTCTGAATTCAGTTTCCCCCCTCCCGCGCTAAGCGCGGAAGCTTTGACATTTCATTAAATTATTAGAGAAAGAAGACGATTCGTTGTATCGTGTTTTGTCTAAATTCAGTTCCCCCTCCCGCGCGAAGACCGGAAGCTTTGACATTTCATTAAATTATAAGAGAAAGAAGACGATTCATTGTACCGGTTCCGACTCTTAATCCTTGTCTGAATTCAGTTCCCCCCTAACCCTAACCCTAACCCTCCCGCGCAAAGCGCGGAAGCTTTGACACTTCATTAAATTATTAAAGAAGGAAGACGATTCGCTGTACCGTTCACTATACTCTTAATCTTGTCTGAATTCAATTTCCCCACTGGGCCCCTTAAAGGGACTATGTCCCATTTGCAGGCCAAAAAAATGAAAAAGTTAAATTCCAACTGCATTTGAAAGATAATACTAATTTAGAACTTCCCTAAAAAAGGTGGGGCTTGAAAATGTCTTCAAGTGGGAAAATAACGACCATTAGTTGTCAAATCGACTTTAGGGCTATAGAGCCCAAAAGTAATAGTCTTGATTTTCAGACAATTGTACCGAATGGTCATACGTTTTATGCTGCGCAAAGATTGAATCAGTTTAATCTTGGCCATCATAAGAAGTGGGTTATTGATGTAGACAAATGCTCATGTACCCTTTACAACTCTTTTCATGTATGTTATTACCAAATAAGAAAAAAAAGCCAGTCAGTCACTCAATACTGTCTGACATTGAAGTCTAGCAAGTATACGGTTTTCCTTGCATAATTTGAATATGAGGACACTGCTAACGTTTAAATTTCACAGATAGGACATACATGACATATTCATAATTCCTGCAAAGTTCTACAGCATTTGAGGTTGGCTGCAAAAGGGACATAGTACCTTTAACGGTACATGTGCAGTGTTACAGTTGCTTCTGGAAAGGATTTTTTTACTAGTGTTACTGTTAGGGCCACGGCCCCTTAGTGACTATAAAAAAAACATATGCTCTTAATTCCTGGCCATTTGGGAATGTGTCAGTTTGCAACTCAAATGGAGAAACGAGCATTTTGTTGAAAATCATGTGATATCACGAACATTTATACATCACTTGTATATGGAATTGAAAATAAGTCATGGTTCAATTTTATTTGGGGGGGGGGGGGGGCTGGCGCCCCCCTAGCTCCCCCACCAGTACGCCAGTGCATGCACCATTATTGATGCTCAATTGGAATCCCAGCCCGGCACTATAACAAAAGAGATGTAGTATCTCTTTGACGACATCAATCCTCTGTTTCCACTCCCCGCCTTGGTGTAAATGGGTACCTGGCAATATATAGCTGGGACAATGGTATGGTATAGGGTCCTCAGAGCAGTTTGATGTGGCTACCCCTATGTAAAAAAAAAAGACCCATTTTTGTTTAATTACACGTATTATGAGTGGGTCTTACCATGGACCTAGGCAGGCGCGGATCCAGGATTTCTTGGGGGGAGGGGGCCCAACTTTTTTTTTTTTTTTTTTTTGCTCCCGAAAATTTGAAAATCGCGCCGGCCGAAAAGTCGCTCAGTGGGGGGGGGGGGGGGGGGGGGGGGGGGGGGGGGGGGGGGGGGGGGGGGGGGGTAGTGAGCACAATTTTTTTTTTTGGTCCTCGAAAATTCTAAAATTTGCACCCCCCCCCCCCCCTTGAGCGCCAGGGGGGGGGGGGGCCCAACCCCCCAAAAAGGTAAAAATCGCGTGATTTTGCCTGATTTTTTTCTCAAGGGGGGGGGGGGGGGAGCCGGGCCCCCGGCCCCCCCCCCCTGGATCCGCCACTGGACCTAGGTACATGGTCTTACTCAGTGGCGGATCCAGGGGGGGGGGGCAATCCGTGAGAAAATATTTAGTTGCGACTCAGTCAGCCGGTGAAGCGGAGGCGGGTAAGAGCCCTTTTTTTTGGTCCAATTTTTTAGGAAATACTTAGCGGCGACTTAGCCAGCCTGTGAATAAGCGGGGGGGGGGGGGGGGGGGGTAAGAGCAATATATATATATATTTATTTTGGGGGGCGCCTTCAGTTCGTGAGAATCTTTTTTTAACAGAGGGGGGAGCAGGCCCGTCGCCCCCCCCCCGTGAATCCGCGCTTGGTCTTACTAAATAAGAAGGAAACTGGAGGATTTTGCCGGTACTCAGTAATACATGCATGATCGGCGCAGTACCCATCCCCCCCCCCCCAAAAAAAAAAAAAAAAAAAAGAAAAAAAAGAAGATGAATAAATGAAATAGAATATGGCCTGCCCGAATATATTATTTTGTATCTCTGTTTTATCTAATGTAATTTGTTGACGAAACAAAATTCTTATCACAATATATTTTCCTTATTGGTCGCGTAAAATTAGAAAGAGGATGGTTGAAATGCGGACACAAGAGCCCCCGCCCTCCCCCTCCTATATACCTGCAAAAAAATATGCCCGTACACCTACGGTTTTCTGGCATGCACAGCTTCAATCGCTAATCTTGGTACCTGGTCGATATTCCGAACTTCTTGAATCTATGCCCGGTTCTTTTCGTGACCTTCGCATTGTTTCATATCTGCTTTAAAAGTATTATGTCAGCCTAAAGTTTCCACACTTGAGACAGAATTTTTCTCAAAATAGTCAAAAGCATGTGTAAGCCTAACTAGTACTCAACAAAGAAGGTATATTTTTGGGGAAAATAGTTCATAAAATAACATTTAAAAGAGCTCTATTTAATATTAAGGAAAAATGTGCAGCTACAAGTACATGTAGTATACTTTATAATACAGTTTGTACAGTATTTTTGAAGTGATTTATCATTTTGAAATGATTTCCTCCACAGATAATACATATAGATAAAGTTTATCATTTACCATCTCTGGAGCTAGCTAAAGACTTGTCGCTGCCTAAAAAGGGCTGGTAATGAGATCGAGGTAATTTTCTATTCCGTAAACAGGAACTAAACTTTAATCATGGTTGTGTTATTGGTGTCATGTGCATCAGTATTGGCTTAACAAGTTTAAAAAGGCCTCTGATTTAAATTCTAATTGAGGCTAATTAGACAACATGGTTGATTTTGTTTTAATTGCATCGTTAATTTGCTTCGAAGTCAGCTCTGACGAATTCAAGTTCAAGAAAACGAAGGGGATAGACCTATAATATAATGTTAGGCCTAAAATCATCTTTCCGATATTGGGTATGCACATACATTCCTGTACGCCTGGAATTCAGTAGAAAGTGCGAAAGTTTTATCGCTTTGGAAATAAACTCCAATATGAATTTCACCTTTCTTTTTAATCAAATGCCCCGGTCGAATGCAATCATAAATATCAATTAAATTTCTCCTTTCAGGGGGGGGGGGGGGGGGCAACTTTGGCCTGTAAAACATGTATACTTCAATTGGAAATACTATCCAATGTGAATTTCACTTTTCTTTGTAATCGAAATCGAATGCAATCATAAATATCAATCCAATATCTCCATTCTTGTGGGGGGGGGGGGGGGACTTTGACCTGTATATTCTGTATACTCGAATCGGAAATACACTCGAATATTAATTTCACTTTAGTCTTTTTAATCGAAATTGAATGCAATCATTAAACTATCAATTCAATATCTGCTTTTGGGTTGGGGGGGGGGGGCAACTTTGGCCTGTGCATACTGTGTATTCCAATCAGGAATACAATCTAATATGAATTTCACGTTTCCTTTTTATCAAATGCCCCAGTCAAATGCAGTCATGAATATCAATTCTATTTCTCTTTTCGCGGGGAGGGGGCAACTTAAGTGGCCTGTTTTTTCTAAATATAGTGAGGATATAAAGGCACTAACTGGCTCTCTGCCTTTTTCAAGCCGACTCTATCTCTGGCTTTGAATTCATGTCATGTGACACTTTTTTTTTGGGGGGGGGGGGGGGTAGGAAGGGTTCTTTTCGCCTATTTGTGAAATGCATGATGATGAAAAGGAAATAGCCGGGGAAATAGATATTTGGAATCTATAGCCTCTAATTATCTTTTCAGCTACACGGAGGTTCTCCAATACCACTGTTATTATCATGAATATATATATAGGGCCTACTCCTTACTAGACTTTCCCGAGATTTAGACATCCCTTCACCCTAGATAACTGCCCCCTCCCTAAATAGGAAGCTCCGACGCCGACACCGGAGCTTCCTGGAGTTACCCCTCCCCAAACTCCGATCCCGTATTGTGTTTGTCTGTAATTTATTGTAAACACGCTTACCGTACGCAAAGCGAATGGAGATCGCTGTTCACAATTAAGATGAGGAACTTTGGCGTTTTTCTTTTCTTTTTGATGATATTTGTAGATATTTGCAGCTCAAAAATGATATTTCAATTCAATCGGTACCACTATAAAAAGAAGCCAAGATCGGTGAGTGTAAATTATCAATGAGAAACTGGTTTATTTCTAGAAAATGTTGACATCACCGTCCCAGATATTGCAATTTGTGTGTGGTTTTGTAGATTATGCTAGACTTAGTGAGTGTGACACCGTCGTGAGAGAGTGTGTGTGTGTGTAATTGGGTTTTTACAGACGTGTATCAATCAGATATGATTATTTACGTCTGGGGACCGACCTTTAACGTCACCATCCGAAAGACGTGACTCAGTTTCGAACCTGCGTCCTCGGCTGAATTAGTTTGTAACTTCCACTGTTAGCTGGATTACAGGCGCACGCCACAACGCCACAACGCCAGAGGGTAGACACTATTATAGGCTACAATATTATTTAATTAATATTCATGAGCTTACGTCTGGCTACCTAAACCATGTACACATGGTAACCGTTAGAGTTAGTGTTTGTTAGGGTTATAATCATGCAAACCCAACTTTAAGAACAGCGTAATTGAATGTTGGATGAAGTTGTCATGGTTGTGGGTTTGAATCTCAGTATTAATTCAGACTTTTTTGCCTTTATAAATGGTGAGGCAAAGCAATACATAATCAAAGTCTAAATGTCTGTGAGGTAGGCACAGCTAGCTAGACTCTTCGCGAACTTAGCTGCATGATATCGATCGGGCACTCGCACACATGCACGTTAGCTCATGAATTATATTTATAATCATAATGAACCAATTTTCATTGGAAGTTTTTATGTCAATTACATGATAGGCTTTGCATTTCCGTTATCTTTGTTTATATTTAGTTGACACCTATGCTCTACAATATGCATTCAAGAATGATATAGAAAGAAAAAAAGTATTGGGCTCTATCACTGAATAGTGCGTCAATGTCATTCGTAATGTTTTCTGATAATTTCTTTCAGGAAAACCTATTCAAACGTGACACAAGAATGTGTGAGAGTGAGTGCACTTCATTTGTTGGCCGAGATCGAACAAAATGTACTAGGAAATGCATCTCGTCAGAGTGCTACGAGGAGCTTTACAGCTGGGATGAGGTAAGAAAATCTGGGGAATGTAAGACAGATCTTAAAATTTGTCGCATCTCTAAATGGCAGCATATCCGTATAATATTGGGCGACTGTGAGGAAGAGTGTTTTAGGAAATGGGTCTTCGAAATCATACCTTGAAAGAGAGCTCAAAGTTATACATGTAATACACTAATATGATAATAATAATAATCTGGATTTATACAGCGCTTAATACGGAATACCTTCTCTATAAAGCACTTAACAGATATTATTACCCTGGTCATTGGATTCATTCACGCACAATGTACACTATCTCCACTCTCTTGGGGATGTTCCTACCATATGGTCACTGTGAGGGCATTGGCAATTACTAGCACAGATGCTTTTGTCATCCTACTGGGTCCCAATTTCTCTCTTGGGTATTGAGTGGCAAATGTAAATTAATGCCTTGCCAAAGAACATTAGTGCCATTAGGACCATGTCAGGGACCGAACCCAACCTAATTTTAATTTCAAGTCAAGTGCTTAAACCACTCGACTATGACACTTCTACTTATCTTATTTGCTCCTCTGCAACCATGAAGATGAATTATGTTCAGTATTAAAAGCTCTGTGAAGCTAAACATTAAAGAACATGGATAGTTGAATAATTCATTGAGGTCAGATTCATCTCTCCTGGATGCCCAACATTTCTTGAGATTTATCTTGAAGACGGGCTTTCTGTACTACATGGATAATTGATATTAACCATATTGTGCCACTCAGCTTACAAATATTTTTGTTTTACTTCCAAGAGTCAAATTATTATTCTCATTATGTGTTTCATAGACATGTTAGGCTCAAAGCACCATCTTTGAAACAATCTCCACAAACATATGTACTTGTTCCTGTTTCAGGACAGAAAATCTAGCTCTTTTTGGACTAAATACATTTACAGTGCGTCATTGACAAATCTTGGGCTGGATTTGCTGTCTATGGCATGGAATGGGTTAATAATACTGTCCATATGAATACAAAGTATTCTTGTGTCGTATCAGACAGGAGATATTGACCTGTTTATCAGGTTACCTGTCATAATCTGTCATTTTGTGTCAAGATATTTCCCTTTCTTTCAAAGTTGATATGTTTTTTTCTTCTATTTTCCCTATTTTCTTAGTTGGAGGAGGGTGAGGTGGACATAAGGGCATCATCTTTCAAAGGTTGTTGGATGAAGAAGGTCATAAATTACCGCTACAGCAAACACCACCTGTAAGTAAATACATGAGAAAATGTTTGATCAGTATCCTAAGTTGTATTTACGCCTTCCAGTTATGAGCAATTTTTTTGTCTTCCTTGAAGTGCTCTGCTATTTGCTGAAATATGTTAAACCTTGAATTTATGAGAACATGAAAAGATGATTGTAAGCCTTTGAATGAATAGTCGTTGAATTGGAACAACCAGGTTGGATCATAATTAAAGTATTGATATTTCTTTGACAAGTCCCTCAGATAGGACTCAAAGCTGTAGGCCTCTCTTCTATGTGAAATAACCCCAAACCTTTCACACTGCTAGTGCGATCCTCTATTCACAACATATTTTTGAATATCTTTTAACAGAACCAGTTGATTAACTGCACATGGTGGAGTTGTAGAGGCAGGACGTGACTCCTGAGACGGCCGAGGAAGATTTGAAGAGAGAGAGAATTGTGTCTGGATCCATCTGTGACCACATGGGAGTTCCATCTCATACAGTCGGCAAGGGAAGGAGAATTGAACAGGGTTGATCATGGATGAGTGAGGAGGATGAACAAGGTTGATCAAAGAACAGTGTCTTCAGTGATCTGACTTCTCAGACAAGTCGGTGAGGGCATATTCTTAGAGAGTATACTAGTAGAGGGTCAGAGAAAGATAGAAAGAGAGAGAGAGAGAGAAAAGAGAGAGAGAGAAGGAGAGAGAGGGAGAGGGAGAGGGAAAGAGAGAGAGGGAGGGAGATAGAGGAAAGAGGAAAGAGAGAGAGAGAGAGAGAGAGAAAGAGAGAGATGGACAGAGAGAGAGAAAGAGGGAGAGAGAGATAGAGAGAGAGAGAGATGGACAGAGAGAGAGAAAGAGGGAGAGAGAGATAGAGAGAGAGAGAGATGGACAGAGAGAGAGAAAGAGGGAGAGAGAGATAGAGAAAGAGAGAGATGGACACAGAGAGAGAAAGAGGGAGAGAGAGAAGGAGAGAGAGAGAGATGGACAGAGAGAGAGAAAGAGGGAGAGAGAGATAGAGAGAAGGGGAGGGGATGGGGGAGGGTGGAGGAGGAAGAGAAGATTGTGCAATATTATGGACTGACAAACAGCAGGACAAACTAACCAACAATTTGAAAGCCAATTGTCGAGATGGGACCTGCAAATATCAGATTCCTTTCGATATGACCCTTTTCACAAAGCCTTTTTTCAATGACAAATTACAAAAATCAGTGACAAATCTGCTGATAACCAATCAGAAGCAAGAATTTATTTCACTAGCTTATAACAAAAACTGTCATTTGTCACGGATTACAAGTTTTGTGAAATGGGGCCCAGGATTCCATTTGTGGGATGATTTATTATTATTATTATTATTAATTACTTTCCCCCTATGTGTACTGATTTAACATGTTTACTCATCACTTCCCCCTTTGTCACTTACATTCTTTATGTCTCTTTATGTATGTATTCCTTTGTATTCCATTATATTATATTTGCATTAAAACAAAAATGGAACATGGAAAATAATGAAATGAAATGAAATGAAATAATTATGAATGGTCCTATGGGACCGGCAATTTACACAAGGTTAGCACAAGCGTTTAATAACAAGTGGTGTTGAATCTAAATCAACATCGGAAACAAAGAGCCATGTCCGGGGAACATGTAGGCAACATAACAGTCATTAGACCTTGCATTGATGTACATGACTGACAAGGTTTATGCCTGAAAACTAAGACTGCAAGGCCAAAGGAAATGATAGATTTAAAACACTTGTGCTTTCACTTTTGTTTCCTTAGAAACATTTGTGTAAATAAAGAGCAATGAAAAAAGGTCAGACAGACCACATCTCTGCATTCTTTGATATATAGGGAAGTGAAATATGAATAATATTACAATGTGGTGAGGTTTTTTTTAATGGGAAATTAATTTATTGGTTTTTAGATAACAAAGAAGGATTATTCTCTAAGATTTACCCTCTATATTCCAACCATGATGCTTAATTAGCATTTGTGTGTGAAATTCTTCACGTTTGGTTGATTATAATTTACATTCTTCAGAAAATAGATACATGTATATAAATTTTAGGGCTTCTTTATTTTCTCAAAAAAGAAAAGGAAAATAAATTTGCTGAATTTCAGTAAGGTACTTGTAATCATGTGTATGGCATTGCTGAATAAAACTTGCTGAAGTGTTGCACAATTTCTTTTTGTTTTATTTGTTTTCCTTGCTGTTAATACCACAAAGGCATGATTTTGTTACATCCTTTGTTCCGTGAATAATAATCCAATATGGGATTTCCTTTTGGGGGGAAATCCACAAGAGATGGCATACATGTAGTAACATGCAATTTGAAAGTGAAATATAATTATGTACTAATTGAAACAGAATGATTCACATGTAATGCTATCAACCTTTACATGTACGTTGCCACTAACACTACAAAAATGAACCATTATTATGAGTGAAATTTTGTCTTATGATAATTTTAAATTATTTCTATTTCAATGATACAGTAATTGAGGCAACTGTTCATGAGATGGAACATAATAATTTAGGATTTAAAAAAAACAAAAAAAACATGATGGAACACATGCTTTTCTTTGTCCAAAGATATTATACAAAGCATGATTTTTTTTTGTTGATTTTTAAAAATATTTATTTATTTATTTATGTATATATATCTATTTATTTAAAAAGTTGGGGGGGGGGGGCTGATTTGAACTTCCTGCAGCACTGAAATGGTTATTGATTGCTTCAAAATCAAATAAGCGTGTATATGTCATTTTGAAAAACATTTCATGCTTTGAAATACATATTGTATGATTTTTAAGGGATTTTTGACTTCCATCTCGCTCTCATGCAAAATAATCTTCAATCCTTTCTTTTCTTCAAAATTGCTGAATGCCCAGTGTATCAAGAACCATCAAGTAAAGGGTTGTTTTACTTGTTGATTTAGCAAACATTTAGTTATATCGCACGAAGGTCAATTTTACCTTTGCTCAATCTTCTAGTATTTGCAATCTTTCATAGCTTTGATTACAGAAAAGCTTACAGAAGCCTTATGTGTAGTTGTATATTGCCCAATTAATTGCTTAATAATCAATGTTTTATCGTATAATGACCTCATTGTAAAGGCCAGTTAGAAAGACAAATAAATGTGGCATTGAATCCAATGTAGTGATATTTGTTCTTTGTATATTATTTGGATAATGTTTAAAAGATGATTAAAGTGGTCTTGTGGTTTTGGAATATTGACTTATTGACTCATTCAACATCAGTATGTTGCATAAAAGATTCATCTTGATAAATGTCTTGTTTGACTTAAATGTGATATGCCTTAAAAAAACACCAAGTCAGCTAGTCCGGTTACTTGAATGACTTTGGGGTTAGGCCGGTAAAGGTTGAATTGGGGGAGTAATATTGCAGCAGTATTATTATTTTTTGTCCACCAAGAAGAAAGCTAAAAAAAGACAATGAGCTCACTATAATGGCTCATGATAAACAGAGGGGGGGGGGGGGGGGGGAATTTCCTGGAAAATTATGAATTTTCAATTTGTAATTTTTTTTTTAGTCTACAGACATATATCTTTTACTCCCTTAAAATATGCCCCAAACCACGCAAACATTTAGCCTGTACTACTTGGAAGTCTCCGCCCCCCCCCCCCTTTTGGTAAAACATAGGCACAAAAGTATTTTGCATAAAGTTTGTGCACAATAGGTGTGCCAGAGCTTGCAAGTTCAAGGATTGGACTCTGGTATTATCTGTTGAGAGCCAGAAGGGTGTTAACTCTGTGTTGTAGAACATGCGTTAATGCCCTTCTGGCTCCAAACGGTCAATACGTAATGTGGGTCAATCCTTTCAGCGATCTGGAAAGAAAAACAACATGTAATGAAAGCAATCTGTCATGGCGGTGGAAACAAGTGGTAGTGATTTACCCAGAAACATAACAAATAACCCTCAAAAGTTTGCATGATTGAAGGGAATGTGAAGAGGATTAAGTCCCGAGTAAGGGATGTCCCAGACTAATTATGTCAACTTTCTCAGGGATTGAACAATGGATAAGAATGACTGTTAAGACAAAGATGTGAAATTAACAGCTACATAAAGGATGTTTATGGAACACTATCTTATGCTCTGTGTGTTTCCATCTTTCAAAGGAGGATCATAAATATTCATGAAAATCTTTAACAAAATCTGAATTGACAATTCATCCATCTCTATTCCATTGCAAGACAATGGGGAGGGGGGGGGGGGGGGTTTCGCATGTGTTTTCTTTCATATTTAAAAAAAAGAATTTGCTGGAAACTTTTTCAATCTATGAACTTTGATCCACTTCACCAAACTTTCTATAAGCCATGAAACTTCTTCAAAATATTTGTAAATCTATTTTAGAAACAATTGCAGAAAAGAAACGTGGTTTCCTTTCAAGAAACTTATGGATGGAGCAGTTACAATATACTTTAATAGGCTAAGTAATACAGTAGGGAAAAATACAAAGAAGTTGAAGCATTTGAGATTTAGAATGCAGCATTAGAGCTCTGAAATTAAAGATTAAAAAGGTGACTAACAGAAACTAACAATTGCTTTGCATAATGAAAAATGGAAGAAACAAAACCTCTTTTTCATTTAAACCCTCAAAAGCTATTGTGAAAAAGTATTTTAAATCTGAAATGATAGTTCATTGAACTTATTTCATGAAGTTAACTCTTTGAAGTCGGGAGGGGGGGGGGGGTATTAATTCCTTTACTTTTATATGTATATAACTTATTGGTAACCTTTTTCTTCATTGAACTCAATCCACTTATACAAACTTTTGAATCATGTTTTATTTATAAAAGGTAGATTCCAGGGTGAGAGGAAATGTTGGTTTATAGAAGCCTTCTATCCTTGTTCTTTGTGGCTCCTACCCATATCCTGTTATAACAATATAACCATATTTAGTTTGTCTTTAGTCACATGTACATCCTTTTGCTGATGTATATTCATTACATCAGTACCGGGACCCGGTTTCATAAAACATGTTTTCAATAACAAGTTACAATGGCCGTTATAAGCTACTGAAATCATGGCATTTGATTGGTTGAGAACTAATTTGTCTTAGATATTTTGTATTTGTTATTCATGACAAGTTTAATGAAACTGGGCCCATCCAGGTATTGTTTTTGTGCAGTTTCAGTACCTGTAACCTTCTAAAGCCAGAAGGGTGTTACTAAAATCTGTCTTTAAAGGGGAAGTCTACCCTGATGTTAAGCTGGTTTTAATGGAAGCAGAAAAATGAGTGGAACAAGTCTGCGAAAGATTGAGCAAAATCCTATTAAAATAAGTTATGAATATTTGACGTTGTGACAATTCAAACTAAAATTGGCAACTCTATGACATATCTTGAGAGGTTCCCTCCCATTTGCTCCGTACTAAAAAAAGTCCAGAAATTTCTGCAGGTGGGTTCCTAATCAATTCTGAAATGAAATACCTGTACATGTAGGGTTTTTCATTTTGAACGTGTGTTGCATTTTCCCTAAACAATTTTGTTTATCGTACATGCACCATAAATATAGTTATTGCAAATATATTTCTATACAACTCCTGTATGAAACAAATCTTTTCTTACATCAATAACTCTGAAAGATGAAAGTTTATGAAATTTCTATACAGAGCAAATTGGAGAGGATCAAAATATGTTAGTGTTGCCAATTTGTGTATCACTGATGACATATGATTGGAAATTCATAACTTTTCTACATTGGATATTGCTCAAGCTTTTACTAATTTTTTTTTCTTCTTGTTTTTCTGCTTTTAATTAATACCAGCTAATCATTAGGGAGGACTTCCCCTTTAACATATAGTAGTTGATGCCCTTCTGGCTCTTAACAGACAGAATATACTTGACTGCTTGTGTGTCTCCAGTTTTCAATATCCTACATGTGTCATGTGATTCTTTTGATTTTATTTTCTGTTTTGAACTGTATCAGGAATTTAACATTACAATGTTAGTTAATGGTTGGACACTGTTGGAAATGTACCATGTTGAAGAGGATTTCTTATGTGGATAGATATCTTCACATGATAATCTCAAGTACTCGTCAAACTATGCACATCTCTTCCGCACAGCTTCCTACCACGGTACATCAGATAAAAATAATAGACCAAAGAACACAAGTATTTTGTACAAATATACAAAATGTGCTAGACTTTAATAATCTGCATTTTGGTCCACACAGACAAGCATCTACAGTGTACATCTACATGTACATGTATTTCAATCATCAATTTCCATTCCTGCAGGCTAATTTCAGCATCATTCACAAAATACCTTACACCAAATCATGAAATTTGATGGATCCTTCCTTAATTCATCATCTCACGGACTGCTATCCATTCATTATGAAACTCTCCAACTATCGCAAGTCAAATAATGCTTTTTTAAAATTCAATTTACATTTATATCTGTGCATGGCTATAATGGTAATGGTAATAACGAGATTTGAGACACTGTTTTTATGTACATGGCTGAAAACAAAAGAATTAATCTGTATATTATTCATTAGGATGTAGGCCTGTTTGGAGCCAGAAGGGCGTTAATTCTGTAAAATGATACGACTTACTGCTCTTCTAGCTCAAAACAGACAATTTGATCTATACCTGTACATCAGATATTCATCATGCTATTATGTTCTTCTTATTTCATTTCTTCTGTACTCACTTCTTGATTTACTTCTATTTCCATAGCGCTTAGAGACTTAATTTTAATTTGCGCTATATGAAAACTGAGTATTATTATTATTATTATTATTATTATTATTATTATTATTATTATTCATTAATTGCTTCTTCTCTCCTCATCTACATCTTTAAATACTTTTATTACAATTTTTTAAATGAATGGTTAAAGATAGAGATAAAACATAGTTCTGAGAATTTTCCATTAAATGTTTGGATTAAAACATGACTTTATGTACACATTTGAGCCCACTGCATACCATAAATACAACGTACACACCATTCTTTATACATTTATTTACAGAGAAAACATTACACTATAAATCATGAGAATTTGCTTCATCATACTTCTACAAAGATAATCTAAACATCACTGCATAATTTACGACCACAGTTAATACCATACTAGTCTATCTACACAGTCAATAATATGATCTTATGTACAACGAAGAGGGAGTCGGATCAAAGAAGATAATAACGGAAATGGAAGGATTTTCAAGAGGAAGTATCTTCATCTCACCAACACATATCCATGACAGGTTTCTCTGCCTAATGCACATCAGTAAGGTAGGAAATGCGCCATTGTTACCATTTTCCAAGGAAAATGTATTCATACACAGGATGTTGGATGACATGGGTCATAAGGTCATATAAACAACTCCATGGCAACTTGGTTTAAAATGGAGCATGTTTGCATAACTCAATAACCTTTCACCATAAATATTACAAACGCTGATAGGAAAGGAGCATGTACATGTATACAGAATAAGTGTCGGTAAGGTCATAGGCATTTACTAAGGATTCATACTTTCATGTTCATACATCATTCTAAAGTGACCAAAAAAAGAAAAAAAGATATTTCCCACAAATATAAAAACTGGTAATTTTAACTATTATCTCCACACCTATTAGTGGTCAAAAATTTTTGTAGATTATTTTCTTGTCAATGTTTTCTTGCTCAAACATAACTGAATAAATTATTAAGAAATTTGCATTAAGAAATTCATTGCAAAATACTTGATGTGGGATGGATTATATATATATATATAGCAGACATTATTTCCCTGCATGGGCATATATTTCGCAAAGTGGCAAAAGCTGGCAAGCATGTTTACAGATCGGGGTCGATGAAAGATTAATCTCCAAGACACCTGACTGATGCTCTAAAGATAGAACCCATATCTGTTTGTTATGTACCCTACTTATCATCACTGCTTGGGGGTAGTTATTATCAATCCCAGAGTTGACACAAAGGATCATGGAAGACAAACTTGGGAGACTTTGAACTGATAAGATTTGACATGGTTGCAGCTCATTAGGGTAGTTTCTCACCTTTACAACAAAGGAGAGAAAACCACTTCTGCCCTAATTAATAAAGCATATAGACCAATTTTAAGACTATAACAAAAAAGTAATAAGATTGATGGTTCATTGTGCTGATTCAAAAATACATAATCTTGGTGTGGATAAATAGTCTTTTTAAAGATAAAGTTGAGTAATGGTATTGCGATTACACTGAAATTATCAAATATTTTTCATCTATACCAGACCCCAACCTCCTCTTAAATGATCCAGTTTGAACCCATTGGCCCGAATTCACAAAGGAGGTTTGTCGACAAACCGAGGTTTATGTACATCATATGACGCGTTTTGACTCGTTTTTTACAAACCTGGTTTGTGAATAACAAAAGGAGGTTTGTCGAAACAAAAGGAGGTTTTTCGACAAACCTCCTTTGTGAATTTGGGCCATTAACTTCTGCATTCTCATTCATGAGGCTTGGTGTCATGGGAACTACTTGATTCCTCTTATCAATTGTTAAATACAAGTGCTTAAAAATCAACATGCTTATTTCAGATATGCTGTACTTGAATACAATTAATCACAATCATAGAAACGTGATCAATCTTCATTGTGATCAATTGCAATTTTGTGCAGACCTGTCATTAAACATGTGTTATCATAGACTCTACAGATTCTGTGCATGCAAAATCAGTGATTACAGGCTGAAGGTTCTTAAAATTCAGCAAATGCATTATCAGTGATTACAGAAGAAAACCATGGAATGAAGGCTTGAATCAGCAATATTTGCAGCCTTGATTCGGTGGAATCGACTATTTACATTGCCTTGCCAGCTATCGCGTCACTCCCGATATCCTATCATCATGTTTTGACAATAACGGTTACCACTATCTATGAAGGCACACTTATCTGCGTACTCTTATCATGGAGTGTTTGATCCAGACTCCAATTGTCAAATTCTGACAGCGATGAACCTTTCCTGATCTGAAGAAGCCAAAGCCCTAATCTCTGCACGTCTCATCTTGCATTCTTATCTCTGAGTCTCTCGTACATGAAGATAGCATTGATTCAGTCAACTCGTAACCCATGCCTCAGCTAAATACAATCTTTAATAATTGGAAGTGGGCAAAGGTTGGTTGGAATCAATTGCTTTTGGAAGTAGATATGAAAAATATCATGTGCCTCTGAAGAAGTTTGTGAGGGCAATGGCCTTGAAAGATACATAAAAATTCCTTATTTGCAAACCGATAATTTTCGTACCACAAGGAGCTGTGCTTGCAAGTAGACTATGAAAGATAATTATATATTTCCAACTGCTTCCAAGTCTATTCTAGGTATATGTGAAAGGAACATACTTAATAATTAGCTATGACCTCTGAACTTCATCTTTTTTCTTCACATGTATGTATTCCCTATTTTTTTTTTTCTTCAGTTCTTTTCGATGTCACAGATTTTAAAACATTTTTTTACACTGTACAACAAATACATTACAAATCTGAATAATCATAAAAATATCACAGTATACATGACCAGTCACCTATGAATAAAACATTACAATTTTTCTATGATCACAGAAAAATCCCTGTTTTTTTTCTTCCTGATTATCAACTGGGGAAGAATCTAGATTAATAGAACTATTCAGTACATGTCACAAAAATGTGGATGTCACTACAACATACATGTATTTAGATTGGAAGCCTTTGACAGCTGACAACATCATGGAGCTAAATTTCAGATTTTCTAATTTTGAAACAATCTGCCACCTCGATGCAGAGTGAAAACTGATGGTGGTGAAAGTTACCATCTTTTCAGTAATACTTCTCTGACTCTGTTTCACAAAGATCCTTTTTTTCAATGACAAAAATCAGTGACAAATCTGCTGATAACCAATCAGAAGCAAGGATTTCAGTAGCTTATAACATCAACTGTCATTTGTCACTGATGACAAGTTTTGTGAAACACCCCCTGCTGTATCAAGAAGGATACTACAATACAGAATCAGTTTGTCTTCTCTGTCAGGGGCTCTGTCCTCGCTCTCTTTGCCGATGTCTTCTTCGTGGTGGTGGTCTTGCCACGGGCGAAGGATGCAGGAACGGATGGCGGGAGCGACGACTGCTGCTGGGCATAGCGTGTTACCGTGGATACACCGTCAACAAACTTGGTCTTGTAGAGAACGTTGGCATTGTTGAACATTCCATCCTTGAGGGACACCACAATGAACTGCAGAGAGACCATGAAAAACAAAATGGAATTTAATAGATTATTTTGGAATTTGTTTTCAATACTGTCTGTTGTACTTACTGATTTCTAAATATCAGTCCCTGTTGATGATTGCACATAGAAAGACATAAATCTACACAAATTTGTGACTAATTTAACACTTTTTACAGAAAATTGTTACAAAAAGCGCCATACTTAGATTATACAAATATTTCATCTTTATTTTTTTCCCTCCAAACAGTGGGTTATCATGTAAAACAAGAGGCTTAAAAAGCAATTTCATCAAATACATATGAACTTGTATATATACAAATATCTACGAACTACCTGGAACTGAGATAGTCGAGGTGGAAATAGCCCACCCTGCATAATTAAGAATTCAAGAAAAAACCTTGACTGCAGAACCTTTAAAGACAGTTACTGCAGAGATGAATAGTTTGAGACTACTGACCTGTGAGTGTTTGAAGTGAGTCCTGAGCATCTGACCAATGTTCTGTGTGTGAGAGAGATCCAAAGCAGCATCAACCTCATCCAGGATGTACAGAGGAGCGGGCTTGAAGAGCAGTAGTGACAGGATCAGAGACAGGGCTACCAGAGACCTATGGGTTAAAAACAATAATATGTTAATATAAAGGTGAACACTTTGAAAACATACATAGAATCTTATGGTCTAGAAAGACAAGATTCCTAGAATAACAGGTAAAGCTAATGTTCAATGATCCAGGATGTACAGAGGAGCAGGCTTAAAGAGCAGTAGTGACAGGATCAGAGACAGGGCTACCAAAGACCTATGGGTTAAAAACAATAATACAGTAATAAAACATACATAGAATCTTATGGTCTAGAAAGAGCAGATTCCTGGAATTACAGGTTAGAGATAATGTTTCTGTGTGTGAGAGAGATCCAGGATATACAGAGGAGCAGGCTTGAAGAGCAGTAGTGACAGGATCAGAGACAGGGCTACCAAAGACCTATGGGGTGAAAAACAATAATAATATAAAAGTGAACACTTAAAGCCACACTGTACTACTTGTAGCTACTTGCTCCCTCTATATAGAAAACTTCCCCAATCGGTGCCTGTTGGTCCCCCGTGATCCTCTTTTTCTTACGTTAATTGAGAGCTGAGTTAATGAGATAGCCACTTGTCAGTGACCTCTCTGTGTGGTCTAAACCCTTCTGGCTTAACTAGTACAGCCGGCCTATAAAGTGTAAAGAAAACAAAATTGTGAGCATCATTAGATTGCAAACAAGTCACAAAGGAAACATTTTTGTTACATCTTTCTTGTCAAACTGACCTTTGACCTCCGCTGAGCTCCTGCAGACTCTCCTTCCAGACATCCCCAAAGGCCACCTTGACCTCCAGTCCATCCAGGATACCCTTGCCCTCTGGTGGGGTCAGCTTGGCCGATGTACCGGGCAACAGGGTGGAGAAGATGGATCCAAAGTCCTATTGTGGAATAAGAATTAAAGAGAAGGTTGAGTTCTGGGGAGAGGTGAAGATAATTTGTGAGCGTTATCATTGTTTTTATGCAAGTTGAAAGAACATCTGAGAATAAATGTTCCCTGAAAACCATGGCTCTTTAAATGCCTTCATATTGTAAATATGACAAGTAACAGCTTAAACATGAGACCCGATTTAATGCCACATGTTTGTGTAGTCCCATATACATATTTATGTGTACAGTGCTCGTAACTTTACCAAGACTGGGCCAAATTGTTTATAATTTTGATGATTCCAGAACCTTGCAGTACACACCAATACATGTACTTATATGCTAGATGATCAACCTTTTCTGATTGATTCCACAACGTTTCTTTCACAATGCAATGGCATGACTAGAACTGGTCTATACCTTTAAGATGCGACATCACAGGAATTCAAACCTGTATTGCAATTACGGTTAAACAAATGGTTTAATTGCTTTACTGTGTTGAGGGAATAAACAAATTAATAGCATCGATTGGTCAAGGCAAGAACAAGTATCAACAAAAACATGCTCACTTAACCCTGAACTATTGACCAGGGGTGTTTAAAACTCACCACTCAAAGCTGTAAATGGCTAAATGGACTGATGATATCTAAATTGTCCCTTAAATATGTTTGGACAAGTAGAATCACTATGTACATTAATTCTAACCTTAACCATTAGCCTGGATTGACTGTCATAAGTATGTAGCCTCCTGACTCGTGTAAAAGAAGTTAGCAAAAGATTTTTAATTGGAGTTCAAGACCTGATGTGTAACAAAGATTATATCTTTGGGGAGTATAGGCGATCGTGCATTGTGAATCAGTGTCTTTAAAAAATAGTTCTTTGTACATAAATACAATTGCAAGTCTTATAAAGGCCCACTGTACTACTTGTAGCTACTTGCTCCCTCTGTATAGAAAACAATGACTAATCAGTGACCATTGGTCCCCCATGATCCTCTTTTTCTTATGTTACTTGAGAGCTGAGTTGATGAAATAGCCACCTGTCAGTGACCGTCCTGGGTAGTCTAATCCCTCTTGGCCAAACTAGTGCAGATGGACTTTAACACGTTGACTACTGCATTTTTCTTATTCCTATAGACTCTAACACAGGAACCACCTGGTTCCCGCTGGCAATGGGTAAGGGTAAAACAATGTTGCCACCAGGTTGTATTGCGTGACTTGTTACCTTGTTGACTTGTTGCCAGGCTTTCTTGAGAGCTTCATTCTTCTTCTCATCGAGCTCTTTGATGGTATCCATGATCTTCTGTTTGTCATTCTCAACAATTCGCTTCTTCTTCATCAGCTCATTGTACTGGGATGAAGAAAATCAAAGGAGAAGGAGAATAAGAAAAAAAAACATGAAAAAGGCTAAAGAATTAAAATATGCCCACTGCAGCATATGATAGATTGAAAGATATTTTAAAGCATTTTTTAAAAAAACACACCAAGATAACGTTAATGTATACGTTGATGAAAATGTTTACGATGCAGTTAAACATATTGAACAAGAACATTAAACTGATGAGTTCAGAAATACTTATCAATATAATTTGACAATGTCAGGTCTATGGAAAATATGTGTAATATAAAATAAACCACATCAAATCTAAATACAATCAACCAAAGCTAAGTTTCCAATAAGCAAGTTTGTAAATAGCTCCGGAATGCACAACCCCAAAATATCCACAGATCTTTTACACAATGGATACGTCCCACCAGTGCATTTTAGAATAATCACTGCCGAAGTGATGGAGGTGCTTCATGAATACCTTTTGTTTGTCTCTTGAGAAGAACACTCCCCCTGTGTATCAGATAAATGTACTGTCGGTGCATAAATGAATACCGATACTGATAACAAAGCTTTCATGAGCACGATACCAGTATTCGTCTCGATGGGTTTTACAATTTAGGAACAAATGATCTTTATCTGCCCACGCGCAGATAGTATTTACGAACTGGCTTATTGACAGGATCACAGTTCTACCAATGTATTAAACTCACCTTCTCCTCTGCCTTGCTGAGCATGTTCATGGCCCTCATGTTAACACTCTTTCCAAGCTTCTCCTTGGTCTCCTGGAGCTTCTGCAGCCTGCGTCCATTCTCCCTGGGGTCAGAGCTGCTGAAGTCATAGGCCGTGTTGGGCTGTCCGAAGAACTGACGCTCTGAGGCTATCCATTCATATTTGGTCATGAGATTCTCGACCTGATGGAAAGGCAAGTGAAACAAATGTCAGCATTGCTTTAAGCCCCACTGTACTACTTACAGCTACTTGCGCCCTCTATAAAGTAAACAATGCCTAAGCAGTGACCGTTGGTCCACCACGGTCCCCTTTTTGTAATGTTAATTAAGAGCTGATTTGATGAGATAACCATCTGTCAGTGACCATGCAGGGAGGTCTAATCCCTCCCCGCCAAACTAGTGCAGATAGAATTTAAGAGATGTGTTGGCTCCAATGATGTAATGTATAATGCAAGTGGAATGAACAGGTATCTTCAACGTCAGTCCAAGCGACCTACATAACTACCCAATCAACCAAAAATGTGCAATTACATATCAATACAGCAAAGACTTCAACTCAGATTAATTCTGTGTAGTTCTTTGGGTCTTATCCTCCCCAGGAATTGGGCACAAGGAAGCTATTTAACCATCACCCCTGAAACTAAATAGCCAGGATATACACCCTTAATGTCCTTCAAAACAAAGAAGCTATTGCCTATCCTTTGAAGAAAACTTTTGCATTGTTTACCTATAAAAAAAAACAACTAAAAATTGGATTGGTTTGCTCTCAAGACATTGCAAGAAATAATTTTTTATCCCATTTTAACCTCACCCTTGAGACATATATCTATCCCTCCAATGATCCATTCCCCATAACGTATTTAACTTACCCTGTGTACAGCATCCGCACTATCTCTGGTGATCTTATTTGCGACATGCTCCTGTTCTTTGATCTGGAGCTGAGTGTCCTGGTCTTCCTTCTTCAGTGCCTCCCTCTCGCTGATCTTCGCCTGGATGTCTTGGTTCTTCTCTTTCAGCTTTTCCTTCTGTCCATCCAGCTCCTTCTTGGTCTCCTTCACCTTGACCTGTGTAATACATCAGGGAAATGTTCATCACTAAATGCAATAGAATATTCCTTCTCTATATTGTACTTGGTACTGGGTATTTGCTATCATATAAAAGTAGTACCTGAAGATTGATTTTTATGTGGATCAAACCTGGTGAATTTTAATCTTTTTTCTTATCATGATGCACATAACTGCTAACATTTGAAAATAAGAATTAGGGATTTTTAGCACGGTATGCCTGCAAAAATAAGAAATCGCACTTGCAGCGGCATTGTAACTGGCAATACAGGGTAAATATGTACAAAAAGCGAATACAATCATGCAGCCATTCAACGCACACAATACGTGAACTCTCAAATCGCAGCACATGATTAAACAAGCTTAAACAAAAAAATTGAAAAAAATGAATATTCCACATTTTCAGGTCCTAGAAATCCAGAAAAACGGAATATACTGAAACATATATCAAGTATGAAGAAGATCCGGTGAGGGACACAGATACGACTTCAGCTAGTGAGCGAGATGGTTGAAAACTAACATAAAAAACAACAACAACAAATACATTGCATCTAGAACTGTAGTTTTCAATGATCACATTCCATCACCTGTACACCCAGCAACATCAAGAAGATAACAACCCTCTACAAACTCCCCTCCCCCGAAGTTCAAAGGTCACAATGTTCATATAAATCACTGACCTTTGACTCCTTGGCCTGCTGTTCCATCTCTTCTTGCTGGGCCTGGATGGCTTCAATGGCCTGGTCACTGGCGGTCAGCTGGTCATCATACTTGGTCAGTTCTTGCTTCAGGTTATCCACCTCAAACTTGAGACTGTTCATCTCCTGAAGATGAACATTGATGAATTTTCGAATAAAAATAGGACAAATTCAAATCACTCTATTTTCAATCTAGGATCTATTAAATCCAACATCCCCAATCTTAATGTACAAGGATTGAGAAGGCTGGAGGCTTCTTAATTGGTAAACTTAGATGTACGTACACTGTACTTGTTGAAGTGCTTTAATCATTAATCGTTTATTTATTTCATTTTCATAAAATACAATCAAAGCAAATAAACATTCATTCAATGTCATCGGTAATACATTTAACAAAATTCCTTTACAATATATATAAAATGAAAAAGGAGAACTTTTAAAAAGTAATTTCTTGTATCAGATTGCTGTCATCAGTGACAAAATGAAATATAAGGAAACAAATAATGTTCAGTACTTTTTAATCAAAATTTAATTTTAACTTGAAAAAAAAAAGTAGCAATTGGTATTGCCCTCTGCATCAACATCATTAGTGAAAGCGAATAAATCATTTATATCTATGAATTGAACTCGCTGATTAATGTCTCTATTGCTCTCTGGCTCTATATACATGTACATGATCATACGATATAATTTCTTCCCTTTTCCCTACACAGACACATATCTCTTCCTATTTTTAAAATTATTGTCTTGGCAAACACTCTGCATACATTTAAGGTATACTACAAACCTGTCGTTTTTGTTTCATTTGTATATAAGTCTCCTCATCTTTCTCTTGGACTTAGTGACCTCCCTTTCCACTGTTTGGGATCTTTCACCCGCCCATCACACCCCTTCTCTCTCTCTCTCTCCCTCTCTCTCTACTGTGTCTATTTCTACCTCATCAAAATATACTACAAACCTGTTGTTTTTGTTTCATTTGTTTATTGGTCTCCTCTGCCTTCTTCTTGGACTTGGTCACCTCCTGTTCGGCTGTCTTGAGTTCTCTCTCCCTCACGGCCGAAGCATCCTTGATCTTCTCTTCAAGGTTCTTGGTCCTCTCTGTCGTCTCCTTCTGTTTGGTCTTGGCATCACCGATCATCTTATCCTGCTCCTCTGTAATCACACAGATAGAATAACCATTTGCAAATGCTCTAATTACTAATATAAGCTCAGATTAGGTTAAAGTGTATTGGAAAGAAGTAACTGATTATGCATATAAAGAAATAAGACAACATCTTATAATATAATATGATCATTACATCTTATTACGACCAATAAGTATGCAAGACATTAATATGTACATTCTGGAGTATTTGCTAACACCTTAACTTAGAATGTTTAGTTTGTATTTTCTTGTTACAATGAACTGCATGTCAAGTTGAACTTGCAATTACAACATATTGTGAACACCGGCCATACCACAAATAGCAAAGTCTATTATCATAAGTAAACATGCTACTAACCGACTGAGGCTTTGAGAGCATTGATTTCTTCTAGCTTGCTGTGATGTGTTCCTTGCTTCAATCTCTCTTCTAGGAGCTGAGCCTCATGGACCTTCAGATCATATTGATCCTTCAGTGCTCGCATCCTATGGAACAAGAAAAACACGAAACACAGTTTTAAACGATTGATCAGGATACCGTAGTCATCCACCAAGGGACATTTTGTATAAAAATAAAAGCATAAATGATGAGGATCGTTAAATGTGTTGTAGATCATGATAATGATGATTTTGATAGTGATGATTATGATGATGGCAATATCAATGGTGATGATGGTGGTGGTAAAGAAAGCTAGAATGATGGAATTATATCTTCTACTACTACTACTACTAATAGACCATGAATAATTTCTAACACATCAGTGAATGAAAAACAATGTACATAACCATAATACAAAGTATTAGGACCTGTTAATTTACTGACAATACAACATTTTTTACTAGCTAGAGTGACTTCAAATGAGACAACTGTAGAATCACTTCCCCCCCCCCCAAAAAAAGGAGAAAAAACAACCACAAACAAACAAACCATGCCTATTGAAACACATTAGGGGTGCAAACAGTAAGTAATCAGCCAGCTGTAACATTTTAATGACATTGGACATGGTTATAGGTAAAAGGAGAGTTTGTTCATAAGTGAATTGTTAGTATGGAAAAGATCTTACTTGTCTGCGGATCCTCTGATCTTGGCCAATTCTTTCTTGACAGCATTGAGTTTCTCTTGCTCAACAAACAAAGCTTCCTCAGCCTCCTGAAGCTCTGAAAGCTTACGCAACACTGAGGAACTGTTGTTACGAGCACCTGAAAAGGAAATCAAACGTATACTTTATTATTGTGAAGTATTTGGCATAATCTGTGCCTGGCTGGGAGACGAAAAGCAAAATGAATCACGGCAACCCTCTGATCTCCCCTCCTGGTATAATTGATTGGGGTGTACAGGTGGACCACTTTACTCGGTTTTCCACTGCAACATAGCCTGCATCTACAAAACAGGGAGGGGTAATATCAACACCAAAAGCAGACATTAGTTATCCTACTGGGTTGGATTCGAAACCCACAATCTTTGGTTCGACAGGCAGACTTTTTATCGACTGAGACAACTTGCCTACTGTACATGTATCTTAAATCTGCAGTGTAATTGAGCAAACAATCACTTTTTTTACCTACTGCAATTTACCTCTAGAAATCTACAACAACATATATTGAAGGCGATTTCAAAGACTGAGTTTGTGTCAGAGTACAGTAAAGAACCATTCATTTATAGCCTAAACATCTCAGATTAATTTAAATAAAGTACATATAAGTAGTGGTAATTATATTTGAATGCATGTACTCAATAATATTTGATGTATCTTTCCCTCTTGCAAAATTAAATGTGAATTCATCGCAAATGATAGTAAAAAGCATGCGTGTGTCTCAATCTGTTGCATTTATCTTCTCTAGAAATGACCTTATCAATATCTACATATTTAAAGCAAAACAAATTAAGAATATGTCATGATGGTCAAAAACAGAAATTAATTCAAAGGATATTTTTACTGAGCTGCTTTTAACCTACCTCCAGTCAAGGTTCCTGATGGGTCAAAGGTGTCACCAGCAAGGGTCACTGTCCTTGTCCTGACCTTGGGGTCAAAGGTCACCTACAATACAAAGGGGTTACAAAGCTTAGTGCTCTACTCACATCATTCTCATCTGTAACATTGACATGTATCTTCTTTTATTGTTAACAATTTTCTTGACAACTTCTCTGCTCTTTGCTGACTTCAAAATCTATGAATAACGTCAACAAATACACTAAAACATGCTGCAAATCAAACATATGATCTATGAAATACACTAGGGGTTTATTATTTCTGTGATCAGATGACTACTATTTTGCTGGAGAAGACATATGTATGTTTGTGATTTGTGTATTGAATAATGTCTAGTAACAGGTATATTTCATATTTTTATTATAAAAAAAGGGTCAACCTTTATATAAGGATTATGTTTTTCCTTTCAGGTTGCAACCTATTCAGTTTATTTTATGTCCTTGTCAAATATGTTCTTAATGTGTATTTGTTGTTATATGAAATGTTGTCTTTTTAACTGAATGAAATAAAATTGAATTGAATTGAATTGAACACACAAAATTGAATGCAAATATGTATATCCTCATTAAACATATAAGATGGTCACTGAATTGGCACTTTAGAAATTTGAGTAATTACAATTTCTGTCTTGTATACGAAATTTTGTTTCTTTTAACAATGAAAACAAAGTATTTGTATATTGTAAAATGCAGAATTTCCCACCAATGAAGTACTGATACGTTCTGCTCAGTGCTCACAAACTAATCCTGAATTGCTGAAGAAAATTAATACTTCTTTTAAAAAAATTGGTTTAGGGTACAATGTTTACCATACATGTTTAATTATGTAAGAATGTATTCTCCTTCCTTGTTTTCCATACCTTCTTAGCATGTGCGGTGTCATTACAGACGAGACTAGATCCAAAGACAAACTCCATGGCTGACTGAACATCCTTCTCATAACCAACAAGGGTCAGGGCGGTGCGAACATTCTCTTTACCAACCTGGCAACAGAACAAAATCAATCAAAAATATTAAGAATGACCAAATGCAGTAAGATTGACAAACCTGGAAGACTTTATTTCTATAATAACATGAAATCTGTAAAAAAAATTAATGACTTATGCTGTCTACAGACATATGATACAGTAAAGCAGTAACAACAACAAATTAATGGATGTTTAGACATTTCACACCTAGTTTCAAATGATGAAAAAATAATAAAAAACACAAACTTACCACTTTTAAAAAAGGTTAAGATATATAAATTTAAACTATCTTTCTAGTGATTTTGCCATGAATGTGTAATTGCTGTAGATTTTAATAATAACTAGTTTTCATCAAAACTCATGACCTACAATACATTTTTTGATAAGCATGATGGTGTTTTTTTTTTTTCGGTGAATGCTCTTTTCAGCAAGTTCTGATAAAAATAGAGCCATACCCATGTGCACTGTACTCAAATCAAATTAAAAAGAAGGTTTTTGGGGGAGTCTTACTGACCAGGTTTTGTGCTGCTCTGACTGTATCTCCTGAGATGGATCTAGCTGCTATCTTGTTGAGTGGTATGATGGTGAAGCGACGTTTCAGCTCTCCCTTCTGTAGCAGCTTCTTGCCTGTATGTTCCGTATCTACAACCACATTGTAGAGCTAACAGACAGGGGGAGAAATGATTATAAATAAACTTCTTCTTCTTATCGAGTCACTACACGAGTCCCGTCCAGTGCTCCACACATACTCTGGCACGGCAATTCACGGCTTCTGAAAATTTTAAACCAACTACTTTATTTACTTGAGCTCAATAGGCGAGCCCAAGCACGAATCTACAAGCTCTCACTGATTCCACTCTGCCCAAGCAGAAAGAATTTGTTTAAAATTTTAGGTATCAGCTACATTTAAGTAGTAAACAGGGATTCAATAGTGGTTTACTAACATATTTAAATTTTAAGCATACTTTTAAAACACAGGTTTGTCTTGACAACCTAAAAAGCTTGCCCAACATAGCAATAAGTACCTCATGCACACTGGATTCCAAGTATTGTAGTTCATTTATTAATAACATGTAAATGGAATAACTCATCACTAGGTCCCCAGGAACAAAACATCCATTCATTTGAATATGTTAGTAAAGTGGTCTATTGCAACATGCATGGTCGAGAAACATAAAGAGTACTTCTATCAGCATTCTTCAATACCAAGGAACGGATCATGAATTCCCATTTTGTTTTGAGAGTCCTACAGGATTTTTAAAGATTAAAGAGTGTCAATGCCATAGAATGTTTACAACTACTATAAATCTAAAACACTGAAAGAATTTTTGAGAACATCGCAATTCATTAAATATTTTTGTGATCTGACTGACCTTCCGTCCTGCGGTGACCTCTAAGGATGTTGCATACTTGACATCCTTGACCTTCAGTAGTCTAGCCACCAGACCATGCACCTTGGAACGGTCAAAGTTCTTCTCGGGATCCTTGTATTCAAACTGAAGATTAGGGAATCTACAAGAGAAAAATACAGGAGGATTTGGTTCTTTAGAACTTCAGGAATCAGTCATACTACATCAGCAATGTATATAGGAACCATCTCATGCTAAATGCCTTAACGATTTTAGACACAGAGCAATATTCCTGTTGTACAATACATAACACCTTCTTATCTCCGATTTTGACAATTCAACTTGTACACACCAATAATTAGTATTCTTTTCTATGAGGTTTTGCAGCTTAAGTGACAAATCAAGGTTAAAGAGTCACTCATTGGTGTCAATCTGAAACAAAATTGAGTTCCATGTTTCCCGGGAATTGTGTCAGCGCAGTCATAGTTAGTACGCACCACAAGATAAACTACTTAGTTATTTACTATATGCAACCAGCCTTTCAATGAAAAAAAAAATCTACTCATTACCACCTATAAATGAAACAGCTATACAAAATAAAAGAAATGGACTGAAAGCATGTACACTTTCACTATATTTCATGACATTTCACGAGACTTCTGCGTTTGTCTATAGCTTCTAAGCATAATTTCCTTTAACGCTCTGTTCACTTCGGTATGCACGTGATACTGTCATGGGATTGGACATACCTGGATGTGAGTGCGTTGACCTTATCTGAAAGATTATCGACCTTGGCTGAGAGGGTCTTGTGTTGGTTCTCAAGGTCATCTTCCTTGCCGTCTTCAAAGCCAAGCTTCTTCATCTCATCCTGGATGAAAAATGGAAAGTGGGATTGTTAGCCCTCTACATATTATTATCATAGTCCTCCTATCAACATCACTGTTTTGACACCAAAAAAACATCACTGTCCAAACAACATGCACCAACTGCCATTCTCGGTATGATCATAACCTCCATTCTCATCAATAAATTTCCTATTACAATCTTCTTTGTTGACTCTAGCTTGGCCTTGATCTCTAGTACTGCATCATTTTTTATCTTAAATTTATATTAGTCATCTTCTACAACTCGATCATATTAGCATCAGATCACCATAACCCATCATCATTACACTAGTAATTACTGTAATTAAACACATCTGCCTAATTCGGCATATAAATATTTGTTATGTCATTTTGGCATGTTCTGACCTACTTCTGTTCCTGTATTTATAATGCCAATGCTTTTAAGTGATCTCTATTTTGGTGTTGTTTCACAAGTGCACCGTAAGCATTTGATTTCAAGTGGGTTTGATGCCTTGTAAATCTCACATTATTATTACCATTATCATTAACCCCTTCCCTAAATTTACCTCAAGTTTTGTCTTGCTCTTGAGCACTGTCTCCATGTTTGCCTTGTCTTTCTCGTACTCCTTGGCTGTCTTCTTGAGTTCTGCCTCTTTCTTCTTGAGCTCGGCCTGGTCGCTCTTCAGTGTGCTCTGAGCCTGCTTCAGGTTCGTCTCAGCAGCCTTCATCTCCGCCTTGCAAGCTGAAACACAAATAATTTTTTTGATTTGTTTTATTGTCCACATAATTGGAAATTCTTTTTTCCACATGGTTACACAAAAATACAAGGTATATACATACAGCCTAAGTCAATTGAACAAACTCCAAATTACACATTACTCATTAATCACTAAGTAAGTCATATCTATATTGTAAACTTAATCTTTATAGAATCAACACTAAATTTGAAAAATAGTTGATTATGATACTTTACAATCCTCCACATTCTCTCCCGACTACATTTCATTTAAATATTTCATGTACTTGTTCTTCCTTCCATATCTCTTTCTATCTGTCTCTCCTTACTCTCAGTCAGGTGACACTTCGTTACTCTGGGTTTAGTTTTTGTTTTTGTGCGTGGTCTTTTTTCAGTTGCCTAATATTTCTATTACCACTGCTGATTTTCAGATCACTTGTTTTTTATAAAGAAACAAATGTAAATGAAAAAGTTTTATAGCCAGAAGATCAAACTAAAAAATGAAACAAAATATTACAAAGCATTCACAATTCACTGTGAATTTTATAGCCCAGAGACATTGCAACATTGTTTCATCTAAAAAATGGAAGCTAATCAAAATTTTCTACCAATAGCATTGTTTGGCTCCAGCGGACAAAATTAAATCAGGGCAGCCTGGAAATCTTGGCTATATTAACATGAAATGTAACATATTTTGCTATATCACGTCATTTCCTTGCATTAAAAGAAGTTTAAAACAGAATCAATTTGTTTCGAATGACACAGGTGAAGGAATGTTGAAGGCCCACTGCACTACTTTTAGCTACTTGCGCCCTCTATATAATAAACAATGCATAATTGGTGACCATTGGTCCCCCACAATCCTCTTTTCCTTATGTTAATTGAGAGCTGAATTGATGAGATAACCACCTGTCCAGCAGAGCTGCCAACATTTGATTTGGGTAATCAGGGAGATTTCTGAGAGAGCAGCATCGAACGACTTCATTGTTGGCGGGAACCAAGAATGGCCTTTTAGTGCCCCTGGTGGGGGGGGGGGGGGGGCAGGGGGCAGGCCCCCAAAAGCTCTTGGTTTTAAGCCTCTTTGAAACCCTTTTAGAACACATTTTTTCAATGATTTCTCAAAATGGAAGGCTTTGATATGGCACATTTTATTTGCATACAATTGATAACATATGAACTTCACATCATATTTCAGACTATGAACTCCTGTTACCTCTATTGTGAAATGGGGGATGTACTTGTGGAAGGCAAGGACTGGGGTGTGCTTGAGGGTTTTCCTTGAAGTGACTGGTAGGTTGCTTGCTTGAGTTTGCTAAGGAGGTCCTTGCTATACTCCCTTTGGTAGCATGGGACATCTGTGTTGGCAATTTTCTCTGTTAGGAGTGCTTGAAGTGTTTTCAAATTCATTGATCCCCTGAAATCAGTTTTGTTCTTCCTAACAATGCTAAAAACTCTTTCACATGAAGCATTGGAATGTGGTATCACAAGCAAAGATTTCATCACTTTGCTCAGAAGTGTGTATTTCTTTGAGCCATTGCCATCCTCCATCTTTGAAATTGCAGACCATTTCTTGTCTATTCTCAAGTTTTTGTTCAGGATCTCTGGTTCCCCTGAAAAGTCTTCAACCTGGTATTGTGCAAATTCCAGCTCAAGCTTGTCCAGGTCTCCATTCTCTGATTGTCTGTTCAAAATGCAAGGGTACTTTTCAACAAAGTATTGCACAGATGAAAATGACACATCTCTTCTGGAACTGACATCAATCACTTCAGCCTCCTTAAGGAACTTAACATCTAGTGGCCAGGTTTTCAAGGCATAGTCACATGCTGATTCATAATACTTCCTCACCGACAAGTAGAAGTATGTCAAATCAGCATCTGTAAGACGAAGGGGAGAATCATCTTCTGGGCTTGTTGTACTCTCCAGGTATTCCTTGGCATCTTTTCCAATCATTAGATCTTTATCTGACTTCTGGCAATCTCTCTTACCATACTGCACTTTCTTGACATCAGAACATTCAACAATCACTGTTGGCTGCACGAATCTAACAAGCATATCTTGGAAGGTTTTATTAAGCTGCTTATTAAGAATGTGAATGCAGGGTTCTTCTCTCTGTAGGAGTAGGTTGATGTCATCAAAGATCTTGTTACTGTATTTGAGGAAGTAACAATACAGTTTGGTTTGGGGTGATATCAGCAAACGATGGACTCTGACCAGACGTGATTCCTGAAGAATTGGTGCAGTCAAGGTTCCAGCTTTCAGAACAGGTCGCTTGGCAGGTAATGCACCCTGAGGCCCGCTTGATTTCCTTTTCAAAGTCCTTGAAACCGATGAGTATTGCTTTGATGTAGCTGTCAACGAGCTGGTTGATGTAATGGATGTCTTGGCAGTCTTCTCAGCAGATGGTCCTTTCTTTGGTGCAGACATCGAAGTGCTTGTTGTGCTAGATGACTTGGAAGTCTTCTCAGCAGATCCTTTCTTTGGTGCAGACATCGAAGTGTTTGGTGTGCTAGATGACTTGGAAGTCTTCTCAGCAGATGGTCCTTTCTTTGGTGCAGACATCGAAGTGCTTGGTGTGCTAGATGACTTGGCAGTCTTCTCAGCAGATGGTCCTTTCTTTGGTGCAGACATCGAAGTGCTTGTTGTGCTAGATGACTTGGAAGTCTTCTCAGCAGATCCTTTCTTTGGTGCAGACATCGAAGTGTTTGGTGTGCTAGATGACTTGGAAGTCTTCTCAGCAGATGGTCCTTTCTTTGGTGTGCTAGATGACTTGGAAGTCTTCTCAGCAGATGGTCCTTTCTTTGGTGCAGCTATTAAAAAAATAAAGATGGGGTCTTTGTAAGGAGATTAGATCTAGAAAGAAACTGTCTGAAAGCAATAGTGACTGTATATTATAAAAGCAATAAAATTTGTAAGATGTAAGTGTTCGGGATAACCAAAATATGCTAGATGTTTAAAAAATACATTTATGTGCCCAGTCCTGCTGAGAATCATGTGCATTAACTGCACACAGAAATGTGTAAATTGGACTATACACAGACATGATGCAACGTTAAAGGCATTTGTTATGATATAAAGTGAAGCTACATGTATTTTAAGCTCAATCAGTTTTCTGGGGACATGTCTACTATGATTTTCCAAACTACATGTTTGAGAAGAGTACAGAATGAGAAGAAGCCCTCACAAATTAGTTTTTACCTGGCCCAGAACTGATGCTCCCCCTTAACAGGTTGGTTGATGTGCTAGATGCCTTGGCAGTCTTCTCAGCTAATGGTCCTGTCTTTGTTGAAACTGGTCTTCTGGTCATTGTGCTACCCTTCATCTCTTCTTTAAAAAAGAGTTGCAGTGGTTGCCACTGTGACAAAAGTCTGTCAATACATAGCCCGAGAGAAAGCCATCGAGTTGCTCCATGCTTCAAAATCTTCCGAACACCAGTATCACACAAAATCTGTAGAGATTTTAAAGCTTTCTGGCGCTTACTACTCTTATCCAGATAGTAGTAAATGTCAATGAGTAGTTCATCAATGGCTATTGGAAGCGCTTTAGAGGCTTTCTCAGCTGTATTGTGCGCCATGTGGCATGGGCATCCTACGACATAACATTCAGAATGTTCCTTCTGTATAAAGGCCGCTACACCCTTGTGTCTACCTAGCATTACGGATGCATTGTCTGCAACAAAGGATATGCAGTTGCTCCATGGAATCTTTTCCTTTGACAGTTCTCTATTGAGAAGCTGGAATATGTTTTCCCCTGTTGAAGCACCATCTGTAAGTGCAGGCAAGCTTAACAATGCCTGAACAACTTTTTCTTTTGTTTCATCAAAATAGTTAAGTAGCACGGGATATAGCTGTTCAGAGCCGCCGTCATTTGACCCATCAGTCGCCAAGCTGAAAACCGAATTCCGAGCCTCTTCAGCAATCAAGGCAGATGTATTCTTGCTCATCGCATGGATCATTGACGAAGTTTTGGTTCTTGCAGAACCGTACTTGGTAGCAATGTTCGAGTCGGGAAACATTTTCTTGAAAATGGGGCCAGCGTGATCTGAAGCAGCAACTGGTAAATTGTGCTCTACCAGAAAGCCTGTAAACAGAGCTTCGGCCTTGGTTGCACTGTCATCACCAGCTGCTGACCTGAAGAAAAAAAACGATATAAAATTAAATTTAAGAAAAACTTTGAAAGGAAAAAAAAAATCAGATTGCAGTTTACATATTCTCTTTAAAAGTTTAAAGGTTAACTACAGTTTTGGTAAAAGCGAATATTTTTATCCCCGAAATTTGTCTTAAAATCTGAATAAAATGAAAAATAGTATCAAGCATATGTTGCACAAAATATTGTGAGAAAAATAAATGAGTATTAGTAAAGCTATTACCTAAAATGTGCTCAAAATATTCATTATCGTTATCCCCGATAATTAAGCAAAATCTTCTTCCTTGATAAAGAACACCTTCCCATGCACAGAATTGGATGAAAATTTCAGAATTTATTCTTTTTTATCATTCTGTGGTCAAATCTTTTAAATAACCTTGCATATGCCAGATAATTAACAAAACATCATTGTTACCGAGAGAGGGCGCTAAATACGATTTAACGGTCAAATTCGAATTTTCAAAACTAAGGATCGAAGCAATTCATAAAAATGATGCTATTGTCTTGCAATGTGTGTAACCTAACAAACTATTAAAGTTCATGATACTGGCATAAAACAGTCAACGTGCAGATTAGTATTTCAAATAAAAACATAAAATCGTGAGAAAATCCACCCTTCAAGTCCCGCACACGTGTTTATGAGTAAGTCTAAGTTTTAGGGAGATTAATGAGGTCCCCAACTACTGACGAAATGAACTCAGGTCTATGGTATAGAGGGGTAGACTATTTCTCGATTTTACAAATCTAAGAACTGTTCATACTAACCTGAAAAAGCTCTGTATTCCTTTTGTATTGCCCCTTGCTTTCGCGGTTTGCTTGTGTTTGTCAGATGTGATGTGGCGAAATACATCATTTCTTCCCCCACTCTTGATGGAGATATCTGCGCCGCAAACTGTACAAAATGCGTAGTATTCGCCTTTCGTAGATTTCCCAACACAAGGCCATTCCAAGTGGTAGTCATCTTTATATTTCTGATAATATTTCGACTTCGACATTGTCCTGGATGATATTTTAATACTCAAACAGAGAGCAAAATACAGCCTTGTTTTGGACAAAGTTGACTTACGCCTTCGGAAGATGTAAGTTATATCGATGCGTTCCCAACGGCAAAGGAGATCAGAAAAAAAAGTCGGCTTCAAAATCCACTCTGCAGTAACACTGCCATGTTGGTATCAAATGATAATCCACTTAAAAATCACATCGCAAAAGTCCCCAAATCAATCCAAAAACTGATGTTGAAATGTGCAGTTTTTTGGGCCGATCGCAGCAGACAAAGTCTGCTTGTTGTATCAGTGCAACTTCTGGCTGCTCTGACGCGACCGATCGGAAACCGGCACCAACGTACCGGGACGCTACGGGGGCCGGCGAGGAAGCCGCCCGGCAGAGCAAGCAGGCGAATTGCTATCACACAAACACCACTCACATTATCACATGTTCCCAATGGTTTGTTAGATTAGCCCGCCAGTCGTTCGGCGTAACTCTCATTTATTACGCTGTTAAATAAAGTACGATATCACGGTAAATTTATATTCGACGACTGGATAACAGGAAAATTCATATTACAGAATTGCCGTGTGTTTGTATACGTACGTACGAACTCAACATGCTAGTCTTGTGAAACAGTCGTTTATGAAAATAATACAACTTAAAATCTGGAAATCCGGGAGATTTTTGCATGGGGTCGGGAAAACGGGATATTGGGTCAAAATCCGGGAGTCTCCCGCAGGATCCGGGAGACTTGGCAGCTCTGTGTCCAGTGACCTTGCAGGGTTGTTTAATCCCTCCTGTACACTTGTACAGATGCGCTTTAAACTTACTCATAAGCTGGTCAGCAAGGGTCTTATCCTCCCCATCTTCGTTGCTAGAGAGCCCAGCAGACACGGCCTGGAGGTGCTTCTGTGCTTGAGCCACACCCTCCTGATTCTCCTTGCATTTCTCTTCTAGCTTGGTGAAACTTCCAGTGAGCTTCTCGATCTCCTTCTCCTTGGCTTTCAACGTAGCTTGATCCTGGGGAAGAGAGAGAGAGAGAGAGAGAGAGAGAGGGTTAGAGGGAGAGAATTTGGTTATTAATCAGTTATAAACAGTACTTCACTAGATTTCTTCAAAAAACAAATGAAAACATACCTGTACAACTCCTCTTAAATTGTTGATAGTCTACAAGACAGCGCCTTGTATCCTTTGGAAAAGGTGCCATATAAATCCAATTATTATTATTATTATTATTATTACAGTTAAAAAATGGCTTAATTTATAGAATAAGCAGCCATTATTGAAAGACTTTTAGATTTTCATGTTTGAGATTTTCATGTTTGAGATGGAAAAAATTACACAGATTAGCATGCAGAAATATTTTATATGTATAGGCATAAGAGGAAAAAATTGTTTAAAGAGAAAGAGCTTTGGCAGAAATTAAATTGAAACACATGAAAACAAGTGTGTAATATATCTTAACATGTCGAAATCTTCTTGTTTAGCATTATTATTTCAGTCTATGTCTGCATTTTCTTTCCCTTGTAATGGATATCCTTTTCTTTTAACAAAAGAGGGAAATACAAAGATACAGAAATTCCTTCTCATCTTTCTTCAAGTAAAAAGTCTGAAAGCATTGCTCTTCCTAAATACCAAGCTTTCATTACACTACATTGAATTCATTTGCTCATGATGACACACAACAGTTATCTGTGAGTTAATTACAGCATTTCATCCTTTACCTCTGTGTAGCTCTTTTCAACGGCTTTCTTGTTCTTCTTCTCGTTGGTGACGGCCTCTTTCTTGTGTTGCAGTGAGCTCTGTATCTTGGTGTCACTGTTCTGTGCCTCCACGAGACGCTTCTCTATCTCCTTCAGGACCCCTCCTGCCTCTTCATCCCTCTCCTTCTCTAACGCCTGGATTGTATTTGTCAGCTCCAAAAGTTTGTCATCAATCTTGAGAAGAAAAAAATTATTATATTGACAGAATAAATTCCAAAAGTGCAATCTTGATGAATGGTGACTTGCAGAGCAAACTCTGTTTTCCCATCCATACTTTTAACACATTAGTAGTACAGTCAAACCTGCTTTAACTTGAAAATGGTTTCTCATTGAAACATGTACTAAAGGAACCTGTACATAAAGACCACTTTTCTTGTCTCCCTTGGCTGGTCTATACAGACAGCTTCCTATTATTTGAAAAAGTAATCATTTTCCCAAAAATGTATTTTGATGACTTTTCCAGGTCGATTATATGGCCCTGGAATAGTCATCTGTATGACAAAAAGAACTAGAGCAAAAACTCAAGGAAATCTCAAAGAAAGAGGAAGATAGTTTCAAAATGTGAAATACCAAAATACTAAACTGTGTAGCTTAGGTTGCATTAGTCAGCTCTAATAAGAAAACTACAAAAATGTATCTGTAACTAGGTCCTTCATACATGCAAACATTACAATACACATGCATGATATTGGTATCATTAATGAACCCAAATCTGCATCATGCACTCACCTCTTTCATCCTCTGTCTCATGGCGGTGGTTGCCTCTGCGATCTTGCCCAGCTCCTGCTCAGACTCCTTGGAGAGCTTCTCAGCGGAGACAAACTGGTATGCCACATGGAGCTTGGTCAAATGATCCAGCTCCCTCAGGACCTTCTGATACTCCAGGTAGGAGGAGCGCTCCTCGTTGAGACGGGTCAGCGTGGGAGTGATCTCTTCGTTCAACACCTAGCAGAAGAGAGGGGTGAACAATAGGGTTAGGCCTAAGAAAAAAAGATGTTGTATTGCCCTTTGCGACTGACCCAAAATCTTGAAATCTATGGTCGGCTTTTCAAAAAAGTGTTGTGTTTTTTACCATTTTTCAGGGAAAAAAATGTTAATGAATAAAAAAATATGTATTAAAGCATTCAAAACTGAAAAATATCAGTCCAAAGAGAAAAGACAGAAAAAAAAGTTTAAAAAATATTTCCGACCGACCAACCCATGTATTGGCACCTAAAGAGCAATACAACACCTTTTTTTTTAGACCTTAAAGATGGCCATCTACTATATGTAGGGACTTAATTTGACAGTCCACAAAGGGGGGGGGGGGGGGGGAGAACCAATTTTTTGTGTGGGGGAAAGAATGGATTACACTAGTCCGTATTATAGACAGTGGCAAAGTTGTCCATGATTTGTTTTAAAGTGCTTTATGATATAAGATGACCACTTGATCTATGGAGAGGTGAGAAATCTTATGAAAGCTCAAGTAACATTTGGCGGTATGGGCATACAAAATAACATCGTTTTGCAAGACATTACTAGGACTAGTCACTATCAAATATACATATATACATTTCTTTTCTCTTTGATATTTTCAAACTCAAACAAATACTACCTTTCAAATCATCACAAACATTGTTATTTAACAAAGATCTGGGTAAAAGAAACAAGACTGAAAACGAGTTAAAATGATGAGAAAGTGTACTAATTGACTTACAGATTCAATCTCTTTGAGCTTAGCATCTTTCTTCTCGATGGTCTTCTGAGCAGAAGCCTTCTTGTTCTCATACATGCGTGTCCCAGCAGCTTCCTCAATCATGGACAGGATCTTGGGAGAAACGGAATGAAAAAGGATGTAAACATGTATGAATTGGAAATACCAAGTTGACTGGATGTGTATTGTTCCCCATTGGCTTTTCTAACAAGGGTATATTCAATCATTTCCTTGTTACATCAGAATTATTAAAAAATTAATCAACCAGAAAAAATTACTTTGGGGCAATATGAACAAAAATCTAAATGGTACATGTACAATATTCCAACTTGCTTTAAAGTATGTATCAGTATATGATATTATACACAGTATCTACAACATTGTGTGTACCAGTACTTAAATTAATATTAAAATAAATGTACTGTATCAATAGTCAATAATGCATGACTGTAAATTTATTTGTACAATATTATGATGAATGCCACAAGGAAGGGACTTTATGCACAAGAAGAACTCACCTCTGGAGGTTTCATGTTTAGTACTTTGGTAATCCTCCCCTGAAAGAAAAGAAAACAATAACAAAAATGCAACTGTTTATATATATAAAACACAATAAGGAGACTGAAGATTATAAAGGTTTATAAATTTGTTCTGAGCAGGAAGAATTTCTCAAGCGCTTTAATTACATCTAAGTTGCAGCATTGCTGAAATAAGGTTACGGTAATATTAGAAAGGCAGTGCCAGTCTGAAGATGGTATCAATCAAATCTTCACAAGACTTTATCAGTGGAGGTGTAGTGGTATAGTGGTTTATTCACTTGACTTGAGTTCAAATCCCAGTCAGACATTCACATGTTTTGGAAAGACATTAATCCACATTTGCCACTCTCCACCCGGGTGTCAAATGGATAAATGGGTATTTGGCAGAATTTATTCCTTGAAATGCACCGTTTGTTTGTTGAAAATGGCCTCCAGAGCTAAAGTTAGAGTAACAGTATTTAGAATCTTTGGAAGTACATGTACAAAGGGACATTACATCATACTGTGATATGCACTAAACAGTAAACAAAAACTTTTTTTTTAAATAATTGTTTACCTGCATGATGAGAAAGTGTGGATTGTTGACATTGAGTTGAACACTGCAGAAGAGATCCTGTACTCTGCTGTTGTTTGCATTGCTGCCATTGATCAGGTACTTGTTCCTGCCACCAATTACAACCTGTCAATGAGAAACAGAAGAAAACACTAAATCTCTAGCACGTAGTAGTAGTAGTAGTAGTAGTTGTAGTGAAGCGACAATGTACGCCTTCACTTTCAAATAACATAATCATGCAGGTTGCTTGCAAAGGTGGTTAAGTGCCGGTAGCTCTTGGAAGTTACTAACAGCACTCTCTTGGGGAAATGGTTGCAGTTTCACACTGGCGAGGACAAGCCAGTATGGGTGTGAACTACTAGATCCTGCCGTGACTGGTTGCAGGATGTCGGGAGTTCCGTATCACATGGAAGGTGATTCTGAGAAGATCTGGACCTAGTTTTAGTTTTAGTTTTTATTTAACAACACCATCTTTATTCCCCTCAGAATAGTAGAACATTCTATCACATGAAATAAACAAACTGTACCTGTCTTGAGACTGTGAATTCATCAAAGCTGTCATATCCCACTGGACTCTGCTTCTTGTCTTTGTTGTCAAAGACGATTGTGACAGTTGCTTTTGTGACACCAGCTTGACCTCCCTTGTATACCAGTTCTTGTAGGCTGCCAGCTCGAACCTGGTTTAATAAAAGAAAAGAAATGAAAAACAACATGCTCAAGTATCATTCACTTCTAATCAATATTGTCTGCCTATTCTCTATTTACTCAATGTGCGAAGGATACAACTCCGCAGTTTTTTAAACCTGGAGGAAATCAAGAAGAAGAAGAAGAAGAAGAAGAAGAAGAAGAAGAAGAAGAAGAAGAAGTAACAAATCTTCCTGGATCCATATTTCTTTGACCCCTCCCCCCCCAAAAAAAAAAACCCACACAAAACAACAAAACAAAACAAAACAAAGTTGAATTAAAATTAAAGGTCTCTCAGTCTCACTCTCTCATAATTTCTCTTTCAGGATTTTTACATGAATAATAGATTTTTACATGAATAATAGACAAATCAAAAGAGAATAATTTTCAATTCATTGAACAGTTCAAACTTCAAGTTCATCAAATCAAATGATCAATCAGTCATCACATTTGAAATTGAATTTGAAATTTGAATTTGAAAATTGAATTTAGACCTAGATCTAGATCTAGATCTAGATCTAGACTAGATCTAAATGAATTCAAATTGCTCATCGAAACAGTGATAAAACAAGAAGAAAAAGACAGTTCGCTATCTATATATAGATCTAATACAGAAAGAAATTTATTTCATTTTACATGAATAGGGTCAATATTCAAATGTAACATCGACGAACAGGTCAATCACTACACTGATCAGTCGCAGTCATTCAAGATTCATAAACAAAAACATTGATCCTTAGTCCCACCTGTGATAAATTTGAGATGCCCAGCAGAAAACAGATCGAATCGAGGATGTTTGATTTTCCAGAGCCGTTCAATCCAGTAATTGCGTTGAAAAGGGGGTCAAATCCCTTAATTTCAGTCCTCTGGGCATACGACTTAAAGCCATCGACGATTATTTCCTTGATATACATTTTGTATATCTGAAATTTAGTCCCAAAATAATGATAAAATAGTTACATTGGCACTGTGTTCAAAGCGCCCGGCTATTTGGCGGTTGATGTCTGCGCATGCGCGAACGTGCAGCTGGCTTTTACTATACTGTTGTTGATGTTGTTGTTATCATTTTCTAGACGCATTCGACGATATAAAAGCATTTACGCCATCTATGTGCGAATTTTAAAAGTCAGTATCTTTCTCTGGATCCGCTTTATATCACTTTCCAAATGAAAAAGTTGCTAAATATGTACCAGGCAGAATTTACTGAAGCATTTCAAGTTGTTTTTGAAAAAAGGATCAGTCTATTTCGAAAATATAGACTCTAGCTTTACTTTGTTCGTTATGAAAAAAAGCATCATAGGGAATTTGGGGCAAATTCTTTCTACTAATGGAAGATGTGATTATGAACAACAACAACAAACAATTTGCATTTTGGCATAGAATCATTTTGCTATTTACGAGACAATATAATAGAGTTGGCGAACCAATTTAATTGGGCCTAATTCATGTTGCTTTACTACAATTTGTTAAAATTGTCGTGAGCTTATTCAAAATGTTCACTGATTATGTTCAAAAGTCCAAATGTGCAAACTATATATCTTGTCATTTTTGTAATAAGGCCAATAAGTAAACACAGCATTTCGGAAAGTCAACCAACCAGATTTTTCATTTATAGAAGAGCTCTTTATTGTTTCATCACTGTTAAGAATAAATAAATCCAGTTGGTGATATATTCACAACAATTTTGGATATCGAACGCCGGAAGGTGACAAATTGTTTCAAAAGTAGGTAGGCTTACAATTCGTAGATTGAGGCTACAGAAATTACTTTTTTTTTTTTTGGGAGTCCAAAAAAAAAATCGCTACGACTCAGCCAGCCGAAAAGTCGCTCAGTGGGGGGGGGGGGGGGGGGGGGGGGGGGGGGGGGGGGGGTAAGCGGTCACTTTTTTTTCTTTTTTTTGGAGTCCAAAAAAAATCGCAACGACTCAGCCAGCCGAAAAGTCGCTCAGTGGGGGGGGGGGGCAAGCGGACACTTTTTTTTTTTTTTTGGTCTCGAAATTTCAAAATTTGACATTTTTCTTCGTTGGGGGGGGGGGGGGTAAGGTCACCTTTTTTAGGTTAACCGTGGGTATAATTTTTTATTTTTTTTTATTTTTTAAATTTTTTTTAATAGTCTAATTAAAAAAAAAAAAAAAAAAAAAAAAAAAAAAACCAAAAGGGGGGGGGGGGGGGGGGGGTTTTTTTTTTTTTTTTAGGGGGTTTACACACATAAAAATACCAAAGGGGGGGGGGGTTTGAACCCCCAAACCCCCCCCCCCCCCTGCGTACGCCCTGCATAAAGTCTCCATCCATGTATAATTTCTTCCATGGGAAAGGCATTGCCTTCAAAGATGTAGTTTACATCCTCTCAGCACTACCCGGGCCCCATCTCCTCTCTTTTTCTTTTCCCATTTCACTCTTTCTCCTTCTGTCACCATCTCTCAATCTTTCTCTCCCCCTCACACTCTTTTGATCAAATCACAAATTCTCTCTCTACCTAATCATCTCCTTTTCTCCCTCTATCTCTTCCCCTTTCACTTTCTCCCTTCCCCTTTTACTCTTTCTCCTTCCCTCCCCATCTCTCAGTCTTTCTCTCCCCCTCACACTCTTTTGATCAAAGCACAAAGTCATATCGTAATCATATAAAAAAAAATCATGAGTAAAAGGTAATTTTTACTACTAAACATTAAGTCTGTGCAGAGGATGCATGGTTCAAGGACACCTACCCCTAGGTCCCTGGACAACTACCCCTACGACAACCTTCCTCTAGGACAACTATCCTAGGGGGAATTTGTCTGGGGGGTAGATGTCTGGGGGGGGGGGGGGGTAGTTGTCCTAGGGAGTAGATGTCTGGGGGAAGTTGTCCTAGGGGGTAGTTGACCTACACTCTTATTTCCACGGCGTCAAATTTCACTCTAAATGGCGTCAGCTGGGAGTCAACTCTATTCCTAGTTAAAGTGACATGGATTCCGAATCAATTTGACTCTGATTGTGTGGCATCAGCTGAGAATTGACTCAATTCAGAGTCAAGATGACTCCTTTTTCGTGTCACTTTAACTAGGAATAGAGTTGACTCCCAGCTGACGCCATTTAGAGTGAAATTTGATGCCGTGGAAATAAGAGTGTAGGGGGTAGTTGTCCGGGGGTAGGTGTCCTAGGGGGTACCGTAGTCATCCTAATGGGTGGTTGCCCTAGGGGGAAGTTATCCTAGGGGGTAGTTGTTCAGGGGGTAGGTGTCCTAGGGGGGGGGGGGGGGTAGTCATCCTAATGGGTGGTTACCCTAGGGGGTAGTTGTCCTAGAGGTGATTATCTGGGGGGTAGGTGTCCGGATACGGCAGAGGATCAACCTCAACTATACTCATAACAGCGGGAAAAATAACATATCATTAGAAACTCACTTGTTTGACAAGGCAATAACTTTTGTTTTATTAGGCTTACATGTAGTAATCCATTCACTGCGGATGAACACACAATGAAAGATAACAAAAAGAAATATCTGCACGGTTCCACAGTGGCGTATATGAAGAAAGATACAAGAAGTACACTTAGGTAATAAGAGAATACATGCAACAGAGATTTACAGTGAGGGTTTTTGCTTGAAATGTTGAAGGAATTGTTCCAAGCATTAAACACAGACTCACACATTATATTCTCTACACAAAACATGATACCTATCACTCTAAAATGCCTAATACACTCCAAGCTAATAGAAGGAAGATAGATAAGCATATATGCATCACTCCTATTACACTACATGGCAAAATTTCACTTGTTTATATTGCAAGAAAAGATTTTTCGTACATGAAAATAGTAAAAAGTGCCCAAAACTGATCGAATATATCCATTACACTCAGTTTCTATAACACAGATTAAAGCTTTGTTATAAGAATGTAGTTTGGCTAGATTTATCAATATAGAATTTGGGCAATAGTAAGCTTTTATGCACTTGATCACTTATAGGAATACAGTATGCTTGCATATCACCATCTTGATTCAGCAGTAATAAGTGGGATAGCATTTTATCTTGGTAATTGCTAAACAAGTATCTCGTAAACAGCACATTATGATTGTAAATTGTAAGAGATATAGATGGAGATGAATAACATTCCTACTATAAAGGCCATGCGAAAGTCAAATATTCTTCCTATGACATTGTTATAATCCATAATGGTTGAGAAAATAATGTCCTAATGGCTTACAACATTACACAGATACAGTCAAACCTGTCTTAGGGACCACTTCTCCATAAAGGCCACCCTTCTGTTATGGCTATGCATTTTGTCTCAGTTGAGAAAGAAATGGGTATTGTAGAACCTGTTCAGAAAGGCCACCTGTCTACAGTGACCACTTTCTTTGTTTCACTTGAGTGGCCTTAGTAGACAGGTTTGATTGTACATGTACTTGCAGAGTAGTATACAGTAATCATTATGTGCATGCTGAAGAAAATCTACAGAAAATAACTGTCAGGCATTTAGCCATTACAAAGCACTACCTATTTCATGTATATAACTTGCATTTACTATCATATTATAAAGATTTATGTCTATGTCTTATATATAATATTACAATCTTGAGTTTTAAAAGTTTTTCTACAGCAACTATTTTACATATTTAAAAAAAAAAAAAATTAAATCTAGTGAAGTACTTTCTGTTCTTCACAGATAATATATATTAAAAGCTACATAAAATTAAATATGATGTACATGCACATTTGCTTCATTGTTACATTACTCATTATAACGCTTTATGGTATAGACATAATTGTGTCCCTTAAACACTAAAACACATTAAAAATGTTCATGGTGAAGTTGAATAATCGATTAACGACCATTCCTGATTCATTCTGTCCAGCAGACTCTTCTAGTAATTTCAATCATTTATCAAAAATATCACTTTTTTCAAACTAATATTACACACATATACATTAAGCTTGGAATTTCCTGTTGCGAAAAATTAATTTGCTTGTTTCATTACCGTATAAGCAATCTCATTAGTCATAAAAATTGCACAAACGTCGAAGTGGTGACGACCCATGTCATGCAATATTCTTTATGACAAATAACTATTTAAATAACATTTAAAAAAGAGTTCTCAATAACATAACAAAAATAAGAAAATACTAATTGTCAAAATGAAGAAGAAAAAAAATCCACTTGTAGTTCACTCGAGCCAGATGTCTGCTAAATTTAAATCTGATGGTAAAAATTACCTTGGCAAATTTTGCAAAAATGGGCCACATTGCCTGCCCTATCAACAAGGAACAGACAATGGTGAAGCATTTAGAAAATATGAATAAAAGGTTGCCAATTAGACTTTGCACAGGCTGCGGCCGCTAGAGATTAATTCCAACATTTGCTACATCAGACATGTTCCACTAACAGAAATCTCAATAGAGCTACGAAAAATAAAATTCTGTAAAGACAGAAAAACTAATATTTGAAAAAGACGGACATCTATCTCCAAGTCCCTTTATCATGAATTTCCATTGCAATCAAGGTACACAATCTTAAACGTTATCCACACATGATAACATTTGAAATCTTAATAAATACAATACAAACATTCACCTACAAAGTACTGCTACACATTCAAGTAATCAGCATTCATTAAATACCACTGTGATCGTTCACAGAATATGTACACGCCGTGATTACAAGATCATTCTCAAACTACCTTATTTGAAGACGCTGCTACACTTCTCTGAACACATTTGCACATATTTCGTACCTTAAATTGACATTTAAAGCTTCAGGGTCTCGTATCAACACACTTATTTGGTTATACTGCAATATGGTCAGTTGGTATTTAGCACATGCTTTATGATGGAGGGTCCTGATACACAATGAGCGTACATGTTTCACATAAATATACATGTCCCTGTCCTAATCATACTTATAATACTTCAAGTATTTCACAGGATACGTGTACATGTATGACAACGGCAGGTGGGTATTAGAGATACCATCAACAGACAGAGTAGTAAATGTAATTACGAAGGCATATCATTATATTGCCATGATTGATAGAGTTG